TTAATTTTTTCATTGATGCTGAAGTGCATGAGCCTGGGTTAGTTTAAGAAACTGCTTCACCCCAATGGGATTGGCCTGCCCCACTTGTGCCAGCAGATAAGGCCTGCTGCTCCTGGCCAGTCAGTTCAACTGGTGGGTCCAGGAGAAGGGCCTTCTGAGCCATGATTCCTCCCTTTTGGAATATCTTACCCCCTGAGGTGAGATTGGCCCAACTCTTTTGATCTTTTGTAATGGGCTGAAGAGCTGGCTTTGACAGTTGGCTTAGGACCTTAACAGGAGAGCATCACACTAGAGGTGATTGATGAATTAAGAGGCAATCCCCTTCTCACATCCTGTTCTCTCCCGATCTTTTAACTATAATTTTATCTTTGATTGTAATTCTATTTTTATCATTTTAGAAATATTTATGGTTTTAATGCTGTAAGACATCCAGGCTTGCTTCAAAATGAGATGGGTGGCAAACAAAGAAACAAACAAAAGAATATTGATTCTGAATAGACAATATGCAACTGAACAAGACTTGATTTTATCATGTTTGTTTCATATATATCTCGGCAATAAAAATTTGTCTATAAACTATCATCTCATTTACTGCATCCAAAATTATGGTGCAAAGAAAAACAGTTGAGAGCCTGTTGGGGCTCTGTTAATACACTGAATGCCCTTGAATTACAAGATTTATATAATGTTTTATAGAATGCTATTAAACCAGCTTGTTACTCTTGATGATAACTGTTCTGTAACATTTACAATGTTCTATAGCAATAGTGAAATCATTATTCTTGGTTATGTTTTTCAGATGCTGTATATTGGAATTGCAGTAGCAATATTAAAAAGGGCTTATTTTTTCCCACTGAAACTGCTTAGCAAGAGTAATTTAACTTTATATAAAAACTGATAAATATAAAGAAAAAAAGCTATGCATGTGTGTTAGTATATTGCCACCTGCAACCCAAGTTTCTGCAAGCTTACTTAAACTAAGTCCTATTCTAGAATTCTCAATAGAATTCTGAATTCCATTGAGAATGTGGAGAATAGGGAGAATTCTTCCATATGAATAAACTGGTTTTCCACGAAGATACTTTCACTTCCCAAATTAAAGCACACTGAAAACCAAAATCCATTTTCTTGAAGACACTTGGAGCTTCCTTTCCAAGCTGACGCAAGCTTTCATCTAGACAAGAAAGGTGATCTTAGAATTTGGAATGAAGTCTATTTTGCAGTTAATTGGTGTTAGTGAGGTAGATCTGACAGACTGACACAAGCTTTGGAATGTCCAATTCTATTAAGACCTGTCACTTCTGAGCTAGTAGATATAAATACATCAGCATTTACTGTTTTGACTTTTCATTTGGAAAGAAAAACTATAAGAGCTTACCAGCTTTCACTACACATCTTTTCCAAAGCTATTCAATTAACATCAAGAAATAATATTGCATACAAATGCCAAATACATACTAAATATCTGACTGCGTGACCAGTAACAACAACAAAAAATAATACTTGGAACATCTTACATCCATAAACACTATCAAATAAAAATTTCTACCTATCCCAGGTCATCCTTGGGAAGGACAAAAATACTAAATTGAGTCTAAACGTCTGGCTATTCAACCAACCATAACAATACTAATATTCCCAAAGTATCTGGAGCACCTCTTGAACACCATCAGCATTGAAAAAATCACCATCATTCAACTGCAAAAGGCAGCTTTACTTGGGACAGCTGACATTCTGTAATGATACCCTTACTACTATCAAACAATAACACCTGCTCATCCCAGGTCCTTGGAAAGGTTGATTGGTGGATAAATATGCCAAATCCAGTCTAAACATCTTGTTGGCTATGTGACCAACCATAGTAATAAAATAAAACACCAACAGCATTGACAAATTCACTATCAGTCCATTCCAAAAGGTAACACCTAACTGTATGATGAACCGTATTACTAATGTCCTATACATTACATTCTAGTAGTGATATTGCTAGATTATTTACTTATTTATTTAATTTATATGCTGTCAATCTCACTGTCTGAAGTAACTGAGAAGATTATACCTGTCCCGCAGAAATGGAGGCAAATGTTTAGTTCAACTATTGAAGAAAAAAATATGCATTGACTAATTACATAAAAGATAGCTAAGAATAAGCAGTGATGCAAATTAAACTAGAATGTGCAGGAAACAAAGCATGAATATTGAAACAATGTAATAAAAGCTAGGACGGAATGTTGGCAAGGAAAAGCATTAGATGGTCAATTTCTACAAAGGATTGAGGGTAAAGTAGGTCAGTGTTTTTCAACCACTGTGCCGCGGCACACTAGTGTGCCGTGACATAGTGTAAGGTGTGCCGTGGGAAAAACACTTTATATATAGTCAATATAGGCACAGAGTTAAATTTTTTTAACATTTTCTAATGGTGGTGTGCCTCGTGATTTTTTTTCATGAAAAAAGTGTGCCTTTGCACAAAAAGGTTGAAAAACACTGAAGTAGGTAAAGAGAAAACCGAGTAACAGTTTACAATTGAAACATCAAAAAAAGAAAATGAAGGCTTGATTTTGGCTGTTCAAGAACAACTATTCGAACTAATACAATCAAGTTCAGAATTGAAAATGATTCAAATGATTCAAAGTGCATATTGCGTAAAGAGGTATAAGAAACGTAGATCATACACGCTGCTTATGCCAGAATATCATGGTATCGGACCTGGGTACTTGAGAGACCGCCTCCTGCCAATTACCTCCCTGCGACCAATTAGATCCCACAGATTAGGCCTCCTCCGGGTTCCATCAGCTAGCCAATGTCGACTGTCGACCACCCGGGGGAGGGCCTTCTCTGTGGCTGCTCCGGCCCTCTGGAACGATCTCCCCGTGGAGATCCGGACCCTCACCACCCTTCAGGCTTTCCGCAAAGCCATCAAGACCTGGCTGTTCTGGCAGGCCTGGGGCTGATGAGTTCCCAACCTCACTCGAATTGTTGTGGCTGTAGTGGTGTTTTTTTATCTGTTTTTTGTATTTTGCTTTTTGTCCTGTTTGTCTTCTTTGTATTACCCCTATTCCCTTTTAGTTTGTTAGCCGCCCTGAGTCCTCCTGGGAATAGGGCGGCATACAAGTTTAATAAACTAACTAATAAACTAACTAACTAACTAACTAACTAACTAACTAACTAACTAACTAACTATGATACCCACATTTTATAACTTTTAATTATAAAATTACACTGAGCACATTTATTTATACAATGTCAAAGTGTTTTGTTAAGGGAAGTCAACAAGAAAAACAGGGAGCTACATAACCATAAGGAAGTTTTCTCAAATAATACAATTTGTGGAGTAAAAATAAAAGCTGATCACAAACAATCCACATTTAATTTAATTTCTGCATGACATGCAAATACATATCTGAATTCAACAACTTGGGTTTTGCTGTTAAGAATACTTTGAATTTATTGTTTACCTGATGGGTAACATGAGATTTCTTTATAGTTCTTAGTGGTAAAGAAGTCTATCAGAATTGGGAAGACGCAAACCGTTTTAAAAATAAGCAAGCTGCTCTGGTTGGGGTATCTTTAGGAAGTTACTGCAGAAGTTCTAATCCCATAATTGTAAATACCAAGCATCCCAATACTATAAAAAAATTCTCTTTATTTCTAGAGTTTATTATTTCTGTTTTACAGGTAGCAGATGAGCACGTTTTTGTGACCAAGAAATTCCAAAACATTCTGTTTATATCTACAACTTACGTTGTTTTTCCTCAATCTTAGAGATGGAAGAATTGAACATTTCTCTGAACCTGATGACCTTGAATGTTGTATATGAATTTGGCTGCATTGTTTAATATAGTTTCTGTTGCATTGGGGATTTTTAAAACCTTTGTCAGAGCATACGGGTTTAATGAGAAATCCTATGCAATTATATATACATATTTATTTAAAAGTAAATTGAACTGATTTCAGTGAAGCTTTCTCTAGGCATATGGTATCCGATTTACTGTTCAGTGTTTGAAAAATAGATATGATATGCCTAGAAGGGATGCAGGTTTGCTACGTCAGCTCATTAGAAATCTGAAAGTCACTAAAGGACTGCTTACTTATCAAATTTGCACATTAAAGGACAAACAGAAAGCTAGGCACATTTAAATTAGAATATGCTGGAATGAGTTAGTTACTGTTTAGGAAGTCCTTGAAGGAATAGTAAATGTGCTACTTGCTAGCATTTTTAGACAGCCAGATATCACCAATACAGCATCAACTTCAAAAGCTTTTTGAGCCAATGGAAAATGCTTATAGCATTGCCTAAGTTTTTGCTCTCCTGGGGTACCTGAGGAGTGCAGAACAGCGTTTTGCAATGTACAGAAGTTGGGACAGAGTTGGAAGGTATCCCAACCTTCTGCTCAAGCAGGAGACCTGTAGCATTCCAACAAATGTCTCTTCTTGAAAACTTCTAGTGATGGAGTAGCCACAACCTCTGAAAGCAAGCTGTTAAACTGTGTGCATAAGTGCACCAGCGTTCCTACCATCCCTATTCTACTGTCCCCATTTATATGTACTCTTTTTATGTGTTTATGGTTATGTTTTGGCTATTTATAACCATTTATTTGTGCCATTTTTTCATGTGTTTTCATACTTGTTTTCTTGTGCTTGTTGACAAATAAATAAATAAATAATAAATTGTTCTTATTGCCAGCAAATTTCTCCTTAGCTCTAGTTGAATCTCTCTTTGATAAGTTTCCATTTGTTACTTCTTGTCATGTCCACAGGTGCTTTGGGAAATAGTTCACCCCTATTCTTTGTGACAGCCCCTTAAATATTAGAAGACTGCATTAAAATGGGAGGTGTAGAGATTTGTGGATTTATATCATGTTCTCCCTCAGGCACAGACTTTTGTAACACACCCTTTCATCTATGCAACTCAGTAGATGGGTCAATAGATGGAGAGATGAAACCAAAATGGCCATCACTGAATAATAACTAGAGAATATATTTATATCAGGTTTACATACCTAGGAGATGTTTTTTCCTGCTGTAAATGGTGAAATATTCCACAGTGTAATCATTTGAGAAACTGTTTTCTATCATCTACTTGAGACCTTTCCATTGTGTGGAATGCTTCTGTTTTTCCTTATAACTGCAGTGTTATTCATTCCCACTTTCCATTAAGGTTTCAGCAAAGTTTCTTTTGAAATATAAGTGACAAATATATTTAACATCGTGGAAAACAGCAAAGCGCAATGCCAAACTGTCTTTCTCATTCCAAAAAGCAGCAATTGATGAGCTGGTTGCCAGATTTCATGCATAAACTCCAGCTTTCTCCATTGCAGCAGCTTTTTAAGAGGCCCCCAGCTCTGGGAGTTGATTCAAGAGACTTCTGATGGAACAACCAGACATTATGCATTAAACTTGAATGGCATTTGAATATATTTCAGTACAACATTTTAGCTTTGGAATAACCAAGGTTTACTTCTAAGTCTCTTTCAAGAAAATTGAAGCTGTTCCACATGATTTTTCACATTATTTCCAGAGAAACGCAACTGGAAAAATTGGAGATTTGGGCATTTAATCTTAATGCTTTTTTTGATTATTCAGAATTTTAAGTTATATCCTGAAACTAGCTTTTTATTTCAAATCTAGCAATATTCTATGATAAAAAACCCCCAAAATAATAGGTTCAAAATGAAACAGTACATTTATCAATAATAAAGATATAATATGGATATAATACTTCTACATACTATGCTTTATTGATATATCAAGATTTACGGGGAAACTTGAATTTGACTTCTCCATTGTACTTCAATATGTGCAACAGTATATCTGCAAAAGTATCTTGTTTTGACTTGTGTAGCATAAAAATACGTATATGAATCAGAACTAGTCGTATTTCCAATTAATGGGAGTGGTCAGTGAGATAACTGGAGATAAAAGATAGACTTGCCATCTGTTCCATGTTCCAAGGTAGCAATCTTTATGGTAAAAATGAAGTTTTATATTAACACACAACAGAGTTTATTGAACAACATAATACTGTGATGTTTCTCATCATGTCCTGGACCCTATTTTAGAGGATGAATTATACATTCACAAATAACATTTCAGTATGTAAATAAATTGATTTCATCAACTCTTTCTTTCCCTTTCTTCATTTTTCTTCTTCAGCCAAATAAGATTTGGACTTACTGGCTTCTCTGAATTGTTCGTTACCCTGACTATCCTCACAATGGATTCCTCATTATAATCTCTCTGGAACCCTTGACATATTTGAGTTGGTTCTAAAACATGAGTTTTCTTTCCCAAGCTATAGAAGGATCCACAGGTAATAACAAGTTTCCTGGAACTTGTGAATGTAGGCTCAGCATCAAGTCAGTCTTTCAGTTTATCTTCAGCTAAGGGTTCTTGACAGCAGCAGTTTTGCTTTCAAGGAGGGATTACAATATATTTAAGGATGATGCTGCAGCAGTTATATGACTCTTGAGTTCCTAGCTGCTGAGCTGGTGAGTAGACAATGCTTAGGTCGAGACAGCTTTGCCTACAGAAGCAAAAGTGCATGGAAAACCCTACCTAGTTTCTTTACCATAGAGGCAAGAGAGAGGGGAGAGATATATTTTCAGATTTGCAATATCCTGGTAATATAACATTAAAGTTAGAGCTGGTACTTATGTGTGTTTTCCTTGCAAGGCTGACACATTAACTCCTAATTGCTACTTATATAATTTTAAGTATGCTGAGAATTTGGTTGTGCACTTCTCCTTTTCATTTTTGGCATGACATAAGGAAGCATTTCAAAGTATTCTCTTGAGTTCTTGATTAACCATCATTGATTATAATATACGAAAAATAGGGAAAGAAAAGATCAGTCACCTGCTCAGAACTGCTGCCACATTAATATATATACAATATTATATTATGGTTGCAGTGAGAACAGAAATAAATCTCATTCTCTCTCTCTCCCTATTCCTTCTGCCTCTCCCATTTCCCCTCTCCCATTTCTCATCTAGCTCTGTTTCCAGATACATATCTGTATCTATCTACAGATATGCATTGTTTATTAATATGTCTATATTATCCATCTATATCTATATTTGGAATCATATTAACTTGCTATTATTTACTGAACCATGTTAAAATTAACAGATATTTTCTGAGGCTGCATAATTGTTAAATAATTTTCAGCAAATTCTTCAATATTTTGTTTGTGGCTATTCTGATTTTAGCTGTACATTCTTGATGTATTAATTAATTTCTCCTCAACTTACATAACTTGAGTAACTTTTAAGCCTTACGGCTGAGCAAACATCTTCTTTATTCCTAAGTTCCTGGCATGAATGTTTTTACCTGAGCAGATTCATATAGTCACCTAATCATTGAGGATGACCTCTCTTCCAAAAATGAAGAGCATCAAATTAGACCTTACAAACTGATAAAGCCTTTAGCTAAGTCCCAGCACAACAAGGACAGTAGGTAAGAGTTATGGATCCCAGGACTCTGACTCAGAATTCTTAGAATGGTCTCCAGGTCTACAGAAGGGCCAGCATTATGAGGTAGAAGGTTTAAAGGCTTAGATATGTAGAACTATGAAGTTCCAAGAAAACCTTCCTAAGAATGGAGTCAAGGAAGACATACCTGTATGATATATGGAGTGCATAAATCCAGATGATGATCAGTAGATGGTAGCAAGGAGTATGGGTGTTCTGCATCTCTTTACTGGCACCTTGAGGTTACCTTAATTTTTACAGTTCACCTATGAGTTTATTCAGTAATCAGTGGTGCTCGCAAGTCCATGACTATCTCTTGAATGACATGGTGCACCTAACATGCTAGCTGTGTTAGAGATGAAAGCCTGAATGTTTTGCTATAGAACTCTCCATTCTAAAGTAATCAGTTATTGGAAACAATACTCTTACCTTATTCTGTTTCTGTGACAAATATTACTCTGACCTCTCAGCTTCATGTTTGGATATTGACATGATTTGTAATTTTACCTTTCTTGTGATTTCTGGACTATAACTCAGATTACTTGTCTTGGCTGGATCATCCTAAAATTGATATTTTTTTTCCCCCTTTTTTTTTTTTTTTTTTTTTCGTGTAAAATATTTTATTCAATTTTCACATTCCATTTGCAATCATTTATATACAGGGTATTTACTATNAATGCAGGAATGAACTAATTGTCTCCTGCAAACAGCCCTCGCCTTTCGCTCCTCCTTTGTTCCCTATAGGAAGGGTCATTCATCGTCCACCTCTGGCCTTACTCCCAAGTCGACCCCTGTTTTTTAGCTGTTCCCTTCATCTGGCAACTCAGCACATGCACACACTGGGAACAGGCTCCAGCTGTTTGTCTGACTCTGAAGGCAGCTGAGAACTGTCAGACGGCCCTGGCCCCCTCTCTGCCTCCGACACAGAGCCCTCATCAGAGTCTTCCCCAGACTCCAGGACTGGCCCATGTTCCTCCAGGACTGGCCGATGGCGGGCCACAATTTGAGGCTCACCCCATACCCATCAAACAGATGGAAGAGATTGTTGGGTCAGAGGAGAAAGAGGCAGAAATAAGGTCAATATTTTGCTAACCCTCTGTACTTGAGATGCGAGCCTCAGACAGAAGTCTCTGCTGCCCGACCGATGTAACCAGGATCTAAATGACTTTGTAAGGGGGAATCCAGGAAGTCCCCTCAACAAAGGAAGAATTGTAGCTGGCCACATTACCTGTTAGCATGCATCATGCTTCTTGCTTTGAAACTGGCTCCTTTCCGTGTCTTCTTTTAAGCTCAGATTCTGCTTTGCAAGTCTCTCAGCCGTCTTTAATTCTTTAATTTTTAATTAATCTAGAAGGCTCTCAATCATCTTTAATCCAGGACCAACCAGAGGTGGGCATCAAAAAATTTAGCAAGGGATTCTGTGCCCGGTTACCCGGTGGGCGTGACCAAGGTGGGCGTGGCCTAGTCGGCCTCCTGCACCATGGTGCGGGGAGGGCGGTTTTGCCTTCCCCAAGCCCCAGAGGCTTTCCTCAAGCCTCCTGGAAGGCGCAAACTGCCTCCCCAGGCTCCGGAGGCCCTCTGGAGGCTGGAAACAGGCCCGTTTCCGGCCTTCCCAAACTTCCGGTAGGCCCGTTTTTCGCCCTCCCCAAACTTCCGTGTGCGCCCTGCACTTACCTGCATCCAAAACGGGCCTCCTGGGGACTGGAGGCATGGGCGTGGCCAGCCAGGTGTGGAATTTGGGGGTTCTCCAAACTGCACAGAATCTTAGCTATAGGTTCTCCTGAACCGCTGCGAAACCAGCAGCCCACTCCTGGGACCAGCAGACATTATTATGACATTATGCCGTGTTTTGGGTCTAGCAGGCCTAACTGGAGCCTCCTGGGACCAAAAACGGGGAGCCGGGGTGGGGGACACCACACACACCCCGCGTGGCCCGTTTTGGGCCTAGCATGCCTCCCTAAAGCCTCCTGGGATCAAAAATGGGGTGCGGGGGACGGGCACCACACCCTCCTCCCCAGCGTTCCTTCCGCACACCTGAAAATCAGTTGGCCAGCAGGAGGCGTACGCGCATGTGCAGTATAGCTGAGCTGGGATGACGGCTCGCATGCCATAGGTTCATCATCACGGTTTTAGCGCATCGATTTTGCTTCTTTGAGAATTGTTTTTCCTCTTCTTTCTGATATTTATTTTTGTTTATCACTTTCATGTTATTTATTTTATTGGTTTCTTTTGTCATTCAGTTGCTTAGGCCGCTGCTCTTTAAAAACTTTAATCAGTAAAAGGTTACTACTCCGTATAATGTAGGTGAGTTTCTGGGTTGAATCTGAAAAAATAAATATATCCTGCTTGTGTTTGCTTCCCGCATACAATTTTTTTTTTTTAATCAAGTGATTTAAAGAAGCTGCTGTTTGAGTGTTCAAGTATTGAAGTCTTTTGCAGCTTCCTTAAAATAGAAAGTGGGTCTTTTTCAAAGGGTCTCTGGGGCAAAGCTTAATGAGAAGGAAGGGACGGAGTCGCAAAAAAATCCAGCCTCTGAGCTATTTCCTGTCTGAAAGCCAGATCTCTCCAAGGTACATTTGGGGTGGATATAAATTGTTTATTTTCTTT